GTGTTATTTCCATTGACTATGTGAAGTCTAAGGAAAATTTGGCTGATCCTTTGACGAAAGGATTGAATAGAGATCAATTGGTAGTTTTGCTAGAGGGAATGTGCTTAAAAATCCAAAATGAAAAGAATGATCATAGTGGTAACCCTACCATACTGAGTGGAGATCCCACGAACTTGGTTCAAAGGGAAAACTAAGCTATGAAAATTCAGTTGAGCACTTGGAACATATGAATATCCAAAGCTCTTCCCTAGAGCACTCCAAGTGCAAGATGACCTGTTGATTGTGGTGAGGGTAAGTCATATGGACTTTTAATGAATCCCTAACTTTGTTAAGGTGGAGTATAACAGGATACTCTTAATAGGGAGGTCACCTATATAAGTGTGAAGTGTGGGCCGCTTCAAATATACACACTTATTAATCCATTGTGTTGTCCATGGCCAAAACGGACGCAACGATAGAATGGAATGGAGTTAAGGCTCTATTGTGTAAATATCATTGTCTTGGTGTACACTATGGAGGAATAGTTCAAGGCATTATGTCCACTAGTCCGCCAGTGCATCTGATGATGTTTACTATGAAAGGTTCAAAGCCAAAAGCTACCTTCTCTGATGCAATAGAGTTTTGAGAGGATTGAGCACAATAGCCTATATACATTAAATTTTCACTCATGTGTGGGATTGTTAGAATTGAGTGAAAATTTGTAGGTGGGACCCATCCACTTGAATTTATTCCCAATGGCCAATTTGTAGATCTATATTTCACGTGAAGATTCCTAGACAATTGGCCACATGATCTCATACAATAATTGTAATAATAATTATAAATTGCAATCAGTGAGGAGGAAACCGCGTGGAAAAGTTGGCCAATTGGCCAAATTGCCTTCAGACTCCATCTATAAATATGCTGATCAGCAGAAGGAGAAGATGCACCGAACAGAAGAAAATAAGAGAAAGATAGAGAGAAATAAAGAATAGAAAAAATATAAAAATATTTATTTGTTATCAAAATAACAAAAGAGAGATATTTTTATTCATATTTTTAAGTGCTCAATTCTCGACTCCGTTTCAGTTCGCCGGAGCTCGTAAATCTGGTGTGCTACAGATTTAGAGACGTTTGCCGTTGTATCTTTGGGGAAGTTACGCCTGAACCGTTAGCTGCCACACGGGGCGTATTCTTCTTGCGGAAAAAGTTTTACTCGCCTCGGCTAAAATTTTTCCGTTTTAAGTTTTAATTTAATTTTCAGTTGTAATTTATTTTTCAGTTTGATTGTAATTTTCTATTTTTTTTTTTTAGATTATTTGTAAGAATTGAAAAATACATATCAGTTCGTAGGATTCCCGTGTATTTTGATACCCAGTTATTAACAATGAGAGGCGGCTGGTGTCTCAATTCTTTAAATAGAGAAGAATTAGGGCTTGAAGGGGAGGGAGATGCGTGGGTGAGCTCGCCGGATTTCATGGACGCGGTTGAGCTGCGACTGATTCACCGATTCTCGCGAGGTACGCTGCTCTGATGAGAGAAAAAGGGAGTGTCGATGCTTGATGAGGGAGATGGGCTGCCACTTTGGGTAAAATGAAATGGATTGGGCCGAAACTAATGAAAGTTGCTTGGACCGAGATTTAGCAACTCTTAGGATGCTTTTGGGCTAGGTGTTGGACCAAAATATTTAAGCAATCATTTAAATACTTACATACAAATAAGCACACAAATCATACTTACACATAAAATTACATATAAGCACAAGATGAAAATTCAAAGCAATTTAAACAGTTAGAACGATTTAGTAAAATGAAAGCACACCAAAGAATTTAAGAAAACGAGGACATCTTCTTAAATCTAAATTTTTGATTAGGTAAATTAATTAGGAAAATTAAATAGACGAGGACATCTATTTAATTCTAATAAACTTAATAGGGAAAACTTGTCGAGCACTACGACAAAAATAAAAGCGAGGCGAATAAATAATTAATATAAAAATATGGGAATTTCTAATAAACGAATGGGGCGTTACAGATACGGCTAAAGATCGAGGGTAAAAACAGCTTACGAACACACGGACAGAACACGGAAAAATTAACACATTATGCCTTTCATTATCTTATCTTTACAAAACCGAACTTTTTCATTTTAATCTAACAATTAAAGGCCGACAAAAACTGAAACTTAAAGCTCTAAAATGCACACATACTCAGCAACCTCACGCATAAAAGTTCAAGAAAAACGAACAACAAAAACAAGGCCAAAACAAGCGGCAAACCCTTTTCTTTTCCTCTTCTTTTTCTTAAACTCAACAATCACTTAATAAGGCCAGCCATAGCTGAGCATATACCTCTGAAAATAACACAATATAAACATGCTAAAGATCTAAAGAACTCAGCAAAATGGTTCAGCAATATGGCAACCCATGCGGACGAAACAAAATGTAATAAACACATTAACATGCTTCGTTTTCTCTTTTCCTTAAGCCACAAACTCTCAATTTAACTAACACTTAGGCGACAAAATAACAACTTAAGCTCAATATACACATAATAACAGCAACATAACACACAAGAAGTCACAGCATATAGGCAAATCAAATAAAGCACACAAAACACAAGGTATAGTATTCTCGTTTCTTCTTCTTGTCTCCACATTTAATCAATATATTCAGGCCGTGGAACTGAATTTTAAGACCTCTAAGAGCACATTTTCAGCATGAAATAACACCTATAGCTCAGCATATACTTCACATAATAATTAGACTAAAACACTACATGAATCCCATTCACCGTGCCTTCATTTTCATCTTTCTTTTTCCTTCTCTTTTCTCTCCAAACTCAAGGCACTTAAAAGGCACATAAGAACTGAATTTAAACACCAACATAACACACAATTTAAGCATATGAGATGCAGGTATACGCCACAGCAATTAAGTCAAAATAATGGTACAACCATAACACATAAACAAGCCTTCTTTTCTTCATTCTTTTTCTCATTCTCCATAGTATTCATATAGGCCTTAAGGCTGATAATTCAGCTCTGAAAATACACCTTTTGCAGCATACAAAACATAACATTCAGCTACAGAAACTTAGGCAAAACTCAAGATCAAACAAACACAACAAATATGCCTCTAAATCTCTTTCCTTTTTCTCAAACATTAAATCTCATGCTACGGCCAAACGAACTGATATACGAGCTCTAAATATACTCGATTTCAGCATAAGAATCATATCTCAATCTCAGCAAGAAGACACAGCAAAAAGGCACAAAAACATCACAAGAACTCATCTCATTATCTTCCCTTTTTCACTAAGTCGAAGCATGCCATTTCTTGACTCTCAAAACAGATTCGTAAGCATAATTTCGGCCAAATTTTGAGAGTAAAAAGGCTCAGCCGATTACCTTGAAAAGGACTTTAAGGAAAAGAAACAAAAGAGGTTCGGTCAGGCTTCGGTCTTTCTCGGCCTTTGGCTTCACTTTGCTCGTAAATAGAAGCTCACGGCTCTCAGCCCTCTCTGTTCAGGTTGCCGGCCGTGGTGACTGCTCGAATGAAGGCTGCAAGCCTGGCTGCGTGAAGAAGATGGTGCGGTTGGGAGTTTTCTCATAATAATTTTTTTTTTTTTATTGTATTTTTGAAGGGCTGATGAATAATTTTTCTTGTGTCTCTGGTGAAATGGCTGAAAGGCAATATAAACGTGGTTTGAGGCTTAAAAATTTGAATGAAAATGTTGGAGAGATGAGCGGGGAGTGAGATGGCCGAAGTTTAAAGGGAGGAGTTAAGGCCTCTTGAACTTAGTCTTGCGCTTGAAATTTGAATTCATACTACACCCTTTTAGAAGCTATGGCCGGACTTACGTAGTGTTTGGTTCAAGGGAATCAGAGGGGAGGGGAAGGGAGGTGAGGGAAACTTTTAATTTTCCTCTGTTTGGTTCACTCTTTTGTGGGGGGAGAAGGGATGAGATTTTCCCCTCTAATTCATGCGCAGAGGAAAATGGCTCCCCCTCCAATTTTGGGGGAATTTGGAGGGGAGGGAAAATATTAAGACACTTAATTACAATTTTATCCTTGTCATATATAATATTTTAATTTTTATTTTAACATCATTAAGGATACATTTGTCATTCTAACATTATTTTCCCTCCTCTTTCATTATCTAGCCAAACAAGGTTTGCCATTTTCCCTTCATTCCCCTCCAACAAAATCCTTCCAAACAAGGTAAAATGATTTTACATCACCTCCCCTTCCCTTCCCTCCCCTCCATTAAAATCCCTCCCCTCCCTTTCACTCCGTTGAACCAAACATAGCCTTAGGTGAAGGAAAATAAGAAATATTCACAATAATTCTGTCTGATTGGTATTAGGGCAAAACTACCTTTTTACGTTTCCCATTTAACCTTTTTTAAAGCCCTTTTTTAGCTCTTATTTTTGACGGTTCTTTACAATCAATATTTTTATAATTTATATATATGTTAATCCAACATTGAAAAATCTGATTATGTCAAATGTACTAAAAGTTAACTCTATTTTCAATTGGTAGATTAAGACACACTATCAATGGGTCTGTTTTACATATAAAATCTGCAAAAATTAATCTGTCAGGTAACATACAAAAATGATATAACCCAAGCCCGTTTCCCCAAAAATAAAAATAATGATTTGTAAGCTTAGTTCAAAATTGAGATAATATCTATCAATCAGCACCATTTAAATTAGGATATATCTTCAAGGCCAGATAAAATGGCAAAGCCTTATTTTGTCCACAACAATAATATATTAGGTCTACCACAACTAAATGAATAACAACACAACAGAATAGCCAAAAAAACACCAAAATTTGAACTGAAACTCATCATGACACAAAACAAACTCTCATCATCAAATAAACTGATACTTCAACCAGAATCCGGACAACCTTGTAAAAAAAATAGAGAAAATCCAAGGAAACACACAACCTTTTTGGGAGAGGGCCAAAATCAAATTACCCAGAAGCAAGACCAAGAGAGAGATCATTCAACTCTAACAATACTGCAAGATGATCATCATTACAGAAATTTGGGAAAAAAGCAAAAAAAATCAAAAACCCCATACCTAAAAACCGAGACATCATTAGTTGAAGCTGCAACCACCAGTGGGGACAGACTTGGATATAAAAAATTTTGGATTTGTTTGGATTTTTTGATTTGGTTTGGTTAATTTTGAAAAAAGTGGTATAGTTAGTTGTTAGTGGGTATATTAAAATAATATTTTAAATAAAATAACTAAAGTTGATTTGATGTAAAAGTATGAGAGAGATGATTTGAAATGATGGTTAGTTAAAATTATGTGAGTGGATGAACAGTGAATTAAGGTTGATGTGATGTGAAAGAATGATTGGTTGATATTATTTAATTATATTAATAATATTAATGATAGTTGGGTTGAGTTAAAGTTGAGTTAAAAAAAAATGATTGAGTTAGGCACCTCCGAACTGAATGCCCTGCTCGCTGCCAGGTGGTGCCAGCTCGTTATCCTCCTCCCAGTATGTGTCGAGAATCCTGACAGCCTTCTCGTAAATCTCATCATTTTGGTGACTCTGAAGGTTCTCAATTTTCTCGACCCCTCCAGCATCACCGATTAACTCTGCGTAGAGGTTGACTTCTTCTGTGTGGCCGAAATCCTTCTCCTTCTCGCCCACCTTCAGAATTTTCTCGAGCACTCCTAAGCACATGCTCACGATCCTCGAGTCCGGGCAAACGAGAAGGTCACACAGAGGTTTGATACACCATTGGCTCACGAGATACCTGTTTGGGGGGGGGGTGGATTTGTTATATTCAAAAGCTGCTATTAATACATGAAGGAAATTCAATTTCACTCGGCCGGTGAAAATTTATCCCAAAAGTGCGAAGGAAATTTTAGAGAAAAACGAGACTATTCAATTCATTATCATTTTTCTCCTTCACCAATCTCATCTATATAAATAACTTTCTAAAAGAAAGAATCGATATAGTAACAATTCCAATAACCATCGTTTACAGTCGCTGCTAATTTACTGTTTTTATATGGCGATTTGACATCAAACTTTAGACATTGTATTTTCATCGTAATCCCCAGTCACATTCATGAAAATCCATCATTCCCCTTCCCAAAAAAAAAATGACTACTCAAGTGGAAAGAAAATAGATAATAAACAACTCACTTGATGTGATCGTGAGTGCCACCAGATGCTGCGTTCGATATTGCCCAAACAGCCTCCTTTTTGACATCGAATTCGGCATTCAGAAGCAACTCAACTAATGATCCAATAATGTTGGTCTCAATTACGGACTGCATCCAAACAAATAAAAATAACAATACACTTGAATATATAAAGCGAACTCAACGAAGTATTTTAAGTATTCTCCAATTAACCTGAATTTGTTTACTGTTTCCGGCTAAGATATTGGAAACAGTCCAGCAGGCTTCCTTTTTAACGCTCTTTTTATGAGCTCCACTCAAGAGGTTCGAGAGACGGGGCAGTACGTTCTTGCTGATGATATACTGCAAACATTCATAGAAATTCCATGAGAAATGGTTAAAATCCACTTAACAAGATAAAATAAGCATTTGATAAAACATTGTCTTTTCAATTATCATTTCTTTAAGTGCAAATAAAGAAAACTATAAATTGTCTATAAATATCCTTTGGTGGCTCTGGAAATCGAGAAACCTTTGGGTTTTTGAAAAGAGTTGGAGACCGGATAGATGCATCATCTCAGGTGCAATGAAGGAATGGCAGGAAGCAATGCTAGAAGATCATGAAGTTGGGACAATCCAAGATTTCTTTCTAGGTCTACTTAGTAGTTCAGTGGTTAGATTCTTGGTTGTCCTTTTGGTGTTTTTTTTTTTTTTCTATTTGTTTGTATTTTCAATGGAGGGCTCAGCTGCCTTCGGTGGATTTTCTGGTTGTATGGTTTAGCCTACTTTGTTAGTAGTGCTCTCTGGCTCTGCCTTCAGCTTTAGAACTTGTACCTCTTGTAATATACTCTTTTACTTTGTATCTATGAGAAATTCTATCGTTCATGAAAAAAAGAGACTGCCAAAGCATTAAGATGCCAAATATAGTTAACACTTTACAGGTGCAGCACAACAATTTAATTTGTGTCGGGTGCAAATTTCTAGTCATTAGTATGAGTTAACAAATAAATGCTGAATTTCAAAATCCAGCCATAAAAGTAAATTAGTAACTATTCGATGATTGATTTATTTATCATATTAATCAAGATATAGTGCCCATGGGTTCCAAATATATTAAAGAACAGAAATTATTGGTTTCTCAGCTCCATGATACCACTCGCAACAGTAACAGTTTTCTTAGATAATAAAAGGTTGAAATTGATTTCAGTATTAATCACTTTCTTATGAGGAGTAGTCTCCATTGAAGTAATAGCAACTAAAGTTAACCAGGGGCGAATTCGATCAAAATTTAGGTCCTGTATTTTTCTGCTTGCCAACTAACCATGTTACACAAAAATGTTAATTGTGGAAACAATAATACAAAAACAGTGACATAACGGGTTTGGTTCATCATACCTGAGTTTGTCTATCATCTCCAGTGACAATATTTCCAACAGTCCGAAGAGCGGGAATAAGAACGGATGGTGATGGATGACTGCAATGCACTTCATCCATCAGCCACATGAGAAAGAGAAGAGAAAAGAAGAAAAGTTTAACGTATAACAATAATAGAGATACTAACAGCAACAACTCGACTAAGCGGGGGCATACTCCAGAGTCAATCACAGCTTGAATTTTATCACTGGTTCCATCAGAAAGATATGAAAGTGCCCAACAAGCATCAGTCAGAACTTCTTCATCACGCGAGTGAATAAGTTGCTTGAGAACTGGTAGTGCAGGTCTCGTCTGTTCATAAGGACAATAATTATTAGTAAACAATTACACATGATTCAATATCATAAGTTCAAAGTACTTTTATACTGTGTTGAACTTATTCAAAATCGTAAGTGCTTATGGAGTTACATATGGAGAGTCAAAGAAGCATCTAGTCTAGCAAAAATATCACGGGAGAGGTCTTTCAACCCATTAAAAGTTTAAAACAAGCAAATACTTTGGGCCTCATACCAGGTATTTGTAACTTACTATATACAAGAACATCCTTTCTTCTGAGTGTGATTTCTAGAGAACTCTAAATAACATAATAACTCATAACAGATCTTGGTAGCTTACTATTTGAAACTTGAAAATCTGAATTCAAATCACATAAGCAGACTATAACCAGAAGTATTCTGAATTTATCTAATATGATAGAAACAATTATTTTTAGTGGGTTAAAAAGTGACATTCAATCTAAAGAAGAAATAAAATGCTCTACAGTATATAACAAAAATCTTTGATAGGTACTTCTACATAAATAATGATTAACCCACCATAAAATTCATGAACAATAATCCTTGTCTGCATCAACTCAAAATTTCTCATGCATATTGTAAGATGGAGCAGCTAGGTAACCAAGCTTAAAGCAAACCTGTTCAAACGCAGGCTGTGGCTTGCCTCTGCAGAAGTTAGACAGTGTCCAGGTAGCATTTCTGAGCATAGATAATTTGGCATGTTCATTCAACTGAGCTAGCAAAGGACCCAAGGCTCCATGACCAAGCACAAAGTCACGACAATTTGGAGAATCATGCGCCACAATTCCCAAAGCCCATACAGCCTAAATCATAAAATAGAGTAGCCAAATTATAATTATTATCCTTATTATTAAAAGTATCCAAGAAGTATGCATAATATACATTGGCAGGAGACTTTGTAACATAAAATGCTCCAGAAACAACACAGAATAACTCTTGAATATAAACACACCTGTTCACGAACATCATCACTTGGAGAAGCAAGAAGCTTCACAAATATTGGGACTGCTCCATGATCAATTACTACCTTAGTGTGTTCTGTGGCAGAAGCAATATAAGTCAGAGCCCAAGCTGCCTCAAACTGCATTCAACATTTAAAAACAATATAAGCCATTTATTTAACAAATACAGAAAAGAAAACACTAAATCAAAAGCGGGTTTTAAACCACAACTGTTAGACCTGAAGTTGCGGGGATTCCTCCCTCGTCAAAAATTCAACAAAGCGGGGAACAACACCTGCTTGAATCACCTCATGAATTGGCGGACTTTGCTCTGCCAAAATCCATTATAGGATACAATATATGATAATGACTAAGTTAAAGTAAGGACGGTTCTCTTTACAACCCAAGTTATTTAGAACACAATAATCACCTATAGAAAGCAATTTTCGGAATTGGGTGGTTGCCTCAAGCTGGCTGTTGAGATCCTCTGTCCAAACACTCAGGACCATTGATGGTAGATTTTCTAACTGCACCTACAATCAACACAAACAAACAAACAAAAAATTCAAAACAAAAACGTCAATGTTTCTAAATTTTAAGAAAATTGCTAATATATTTGTGGTTCTAATCACTGCTCTGATAATATATTCCAAACCACCGGCAGAAGCAAAGTTAATTCCAGATATGCGAGATGCATCACATCCATATTAGTTCAAAACACAGCAAAAAACAGAAAATGAGAAAAGGGAAGCACTAATCAATCTTGTATTTGCTGTAAATCATTTGACTACTTGACAGAAAAAACAAAAAATAAAAATAAACATACATCCGATCTGCACAGTCAATTTAACACCACAAACATAGCAAGCATCCATAAGGATGATCAAACCTCCGAGTCTCCGACCATCCAATTCCACCCACAGGTCAACAAACATTTACAAACCGAAAAATCTAACAAACAAAAACACTTATATGGAGAGCAAATAAAAGCAAACAAACCAATTATGCATTCATAATCATACGACTACCTTTTTCTCGATGCCGGTGGTGGCTTTGACAGGATCAGAAAACTGCTGGACACCCTCACGGCGTTTCTTCTGGAGATTCTCCTCACAGCGGTTCTTCCAACTCTCGATCATGTTGTCCTCCCTCCGCCGCCGCCCCTCCTCGGCGTCCACGGCCACCTTGTAGCGGTTGCGGCGGACCTCGGAGCGAGCATTGGGTCTCAACGACATCGTTAGCCCTTCCAAAATCGCTAAGAGAGGAAAAAATTGAAATCGGAAATAATGGGAGTGGCGGAGTGTGAGGTGAAGAGATAGGGTTTTATACAAGGTTTTGTTATGTGCGATATTAGTAGAGATAGGCTAGCCGTACCGTGCTTCGGCAATGGGTTAAGGGTTCGGGATAAACAGGTTATAATAATAATAATAAATAAATAAACAAATAAAAAATTACAACGTCTATTTATCAATTTTTTTCAATGGCTATTTAATATTTACCACTATATATATATACAACTACACTTTATATGTATATATATTACAAACTCTTAAATAACATATTGTTTCTTAAAAAAAATATTCGAACTATTACTTGTAACTGCAATTTTACTAGTTATTTGGTATGCTTCATACTACTGAATTTATATTTTATCATTATATTCTATGTGTTAGAACTTAGGTTTTTGTCTCATAATATTGTATCATACTGCTGAATAAATATTCTATCAATATATTCTATGTGTTAGCTCTTTGTCTCGTTTGTTTTTTATTAGCCATTCTGATTGGCTTAAATATTTTGGTGTGAAATACAAAAAACAAAATTTATTAATAATTATCTCTCAAAATAACAATAACTCGTTATAACTCATAAGTACATGTGAAGTAGAATACCAAAATTGTAATATACAAAGAATCTTGAGACATATTCATTACCTTGCTAAAAACATATACACCACCCAACCCAAGTTAAACGAACTAGCCCTAGCGATTTTCGGGCCAGCCCTAGCGGGATTTGGGCTAAACGGTTCGGGTATAAAAAGCCTGAATTTAAACGGGCTACCAATAAAAGGCCTTAACCCTATTTTTTTCGGCTAAACGGGCCGACCCGTCGGGCCAAGGACCATTTAACATCTCTATGTGTGAATCGGGAAACGTGGTTTGGATATAAAAGGACATGGATCAGCACATATTTACGATTTTGGGACTGAACAAATCTGAATTCGAATTTGAATATGAGGGAAAAACCAGAGACCTAAAACCTTATACGAATAGGTGACAGTCTAAGAAAGGAAGGCTCTTCCAGTCAGCTTTCTCATCATTAAGAGTTGGAAAAATCAGGTCACCAGCTGAGGTCCATTATATCGAGCCTCAAAGCGAGGGAGCCTGATGTATTTAAAATGAAAGTACCAATAGTTGGCGGATGGCCAAGTTATCAATCTCCCTTCCAAACGAACGAAGCGAAGCGAAGTTCAGTCATAGAATCCTAAAGGATTGATGTAATTAAGAAACCTCAAAAGAGTCAGGAGGCAAGATTAATGGCATAACCTAGTACCGTCTGGTCGGTAGCTGTGAAACTAGCTCTGGCTTTACTTTTAGCTTTTTCGTGGGGCAGGGGCATAGAAGGAGTTTATCCTGGTCGAGGATCGATGTAATTGAGAATTCATACATGGGAAAAGGAACTTTCAACAGGCATGGTACGAGAGGGCCAGCCTTACCTTAGGCCTCTTCAACTAATAGATGTGTTAATGCGAAAATCCCAGGTTTCTTGAAAGGAGGTCGACCCTAAGAACGAAGCGAAGAGAAGTTCAGTCATAGAGCTCAAAAAGACATACTTTCCTCGTCTTAGCTTGGATATCCGAGGGTAGGCAACTCAATAGATAGAGGCGCGATATAATTGCCCTAGAAGGAAGCCTTGGGCTAGAAACCAAAGAAAGGGAGTCAGCGGGCTAACCTTCTTCATTTACTTGCGAAACCCTCCCTAACAGCCTATGAATGTCCAGCGCATTCTTCTTAAAAGATCTTACATTTCCTTTATCTGATTACAACCTATTGATCGGATTTACTGTGCGGGATATCTTTACTAATGATTTAAGACATAGTTCATCCTTCTGTATAAGAGGCTTCTCCAAGTCTTCAAAAGGGGATGAATTCGACCAACCAAGGAGATGGAGGATGTACTGATACGTACAACCCAGAAGCCTTCAGCCAGATTACCAATTCGGTGTGCTAAGCATGGTGCCTATTTGATACGTCGTCGGAGTTCGCATGTGAAACAGCTTCGCCTACTTCCCCATCTCTCTCAATCTCATGAGTTCACATCGGGGCAAGCGGTCCACGAGAATTTCTTCTCTTCCTTGCCTCAATCAAGCACTTCTTACTGATTGGAGGCCTTATGACAGTGGTTCACAGACAGACTGCTTAGACAATATCTAAATCTTGTTATCCCAATAGTCAATGTGTTATATTTTTCTATGACTTCACTTCGCTTCTAAAGATGCAATTGACCTAACTAAATCGATGAAAGCGCTTTAACTGAGGAATTATTTGAATACGCGGGCCTTGTTAGGTCGTTTTCTAACTTTGGGTGGGATATAAGTGTTGGTGTATATAATGAAAGCTTGGCTTTAGATGTATTTATACTGCACCCGTTTGAATGAGAATCATGTTTAATTACACAGTCTATGTTCTGTTGTTTTGCACTTAGATAGAATGGGTCGTCATCAGGCGAACAGAAGATCATTCTATCAGTTTCTTGCGAAACAAGAATCGTTGGTTCATAACCTAGATGGAAATGAACACCTCATCCGAAGGGTTGTAGTGTTAACATACAGTTGGTCTTGACTGATTAGTTACACTAGTACACTTTGTGTATTGAACGGATCCCAGAGAGGAGAAGATCATTTTATATTGATCGTCGTAAGCGAACTAGGCCTCGGTTAATTACTGCGTACTCTTAACCCGTAAGATATAAACAGGCATGTGCATGCAATTAATATTACTTTGATTCACTTGGGTGAGATTCAGTTTACTGGATCAATATACTTAATGTTTTGAGTGATATTATTGTATGTATGATGTTCTGTTAGAATATGTACGGTCACCGTGTGCGTTAATTTGATGGTGTCCCCGAGATGAGCTAATGAAGGATTATTATGTTAAATCTGGCCAGTGGAATTTATTCTGACTTAATAAGAATGTGATGAGTGGTACTAGTCTCAGTTATAGATATCGATTAATTTAATTGTCAGTAATTAAATTAATTGATGGACATTATATCTTAAACACGGGGAGATAAATCGTGTAATTATTATTGGATACTCAAATATAATTCGTGAATTAAATTGAGAGTTTATTCAATAATACTACTTTAGTGGAATGTACGGATTATTCCTATTTGGGTTTGGTAGGCTTGGCCTATAGTCTAATCCAAATAAAAGAAGCCCAATTTAATACCTCCTTAGGGTCTCTATTGTAGCCTATAAATACATCACATCTCTTGCGATTAGGAGATTAAGTCTTGCACAATGAGTACACACGTGAGATAAGAAAACGCCGCCACACCTGTTCTCTTCTTTTCTCCAAATAATTCTAGTAGAGATATCTATGATCTATCGACCACCAAAATGATCGGATGAGATGTCGGGTCATACAATAGAAGATTGTCGAGCATGCACGGTCGCATGTGAGTCAACGGTCGGCCGCGCGCAAGCCTTACGTCTCTCAGCACGGTCGTGCGTGCTCTGCCACCACTTCGCGTGGTTACACCGAGCCAGGGTCGGGGTTTGTCCAGGTTTCCAAAAGAACAAGATTTAGTTATTAAGGAGGATAGATTGTAATGCCCCGTTCGAATTATAGAATTTTGAGGAATAATTAATATTACTATTATTATTTATATTCATGTGTTATTAATAATATTATTGGTTGGGATGTTATAGGTTATTAATTGTCAAATATGATTTATTTGTCAAATTGCTTGATTGTCTAAATATTGAATTAATTGCCTAATTGTCTAAATATTAATAATTAATTAAAATGTATATTTGTATTTTTACTAATATTATTATTATTTCTTAAAATTTAAATTGTGTATTATCAATACATATTATATATTTTGTTTGTTTATTTAATTGTGCGAATTTATTTATCGAGCCTGAGAAATCTGTATTACTTCTACGTAGTCGGGCCCGAGAGCCGATTTGTTTCTTTGAACCGAAACCGCGAGCCCGATAATTCGGCCCAAATCCGAGCCCAACCAATTCGACCCATGTGCGTTGTGTGAGATTCTTTTTTATTAAAACTCTAAACCTATTTACGTGATATATATATATATGTGTATCTCTATCCCCCTTCTCATTCACGCACAAATCAGAATAAATCCCTCAACCCCCAGACAATTCTGCTTCTTCGTTCTCTCGCGCGACTTAGAGCAGATAAGAGAAATCTGACGTTGTCATCATCACTTCATCTCCTTCATTACTGATCGCCATCACCTTCCCTTTCTCTGAAACTCCCGTCGCCATCATTTTTTCGCGAGGAACCAGAACCGCAGGCCCTTTTTCCGGCGAATTCAGCGGCTCCGTCATCGAGCAGCACCCCAATCACCCTCCGTCATCGCGGGTCCCTGCTCGCACAGTAGCCCTGCGAAGTTTTTTCGGCGACTTCCACGTTCGTACAGCGACCTTTAGTCGTGACCTAGCCACTGCCCTTCTTCTCCGGTGAGCCGCGCGAAGCCATCGAGCCGTCGAGTTCGTTCGTCGCTGCTAGCCACCGCAAATCGAGCCCGTCACCCCTACGTTCATTCCGTTTTCGTTCGATTCCCGACAACGGTACAAGGATCGACCCGTCTCGTTTAACTTTACGTCTCGTTTATGTTGTGTTCTTAAGAGTTGATACAAAAGAGGTTATATATATATATTTGTCGAATATGTGGAATTTATGTGGCTATGTGGATGCTTTGTCGAGATCATGTTAAAATTCGAGTCCTCGCTTGTTTATGTGTATATTGGTGATGATATAGGTGTTAAGACGCTTAAGTGTTGCTATGAAGTTTGTATATCGCATGTGATGTTATTCGTGAATTTTTGCAGCCTCTGTCGAGCCTCTGAAAAGGCATTAAAAACTCGTTTTCTGAAGTTTTGTCCTTCACAGGATATGTAGTTCTTTCAGTTTTGGTTCTGTGAGTTTTAGAATTTCGAAAATCCGACTTGAAATGAGAGAGTTATGATTTTTATAAAATTGTCGCGCAAGCAGTTTTTAACAAATCCCGGCAGCATGTGTGTGTTGAGAGTTTTATCTGTTTATTGCATCTTAATGTGCTCAAATGAAAATGTGATCTTCATAAAAGTTATATGTATTTTTCTAAGCTTTATGATGAGCTA